GGGGGCCTCCCGAGGATCGGTCGTGAAATCTTTGAAACTTACATACATGAGTTATAAAAGCAAGTGACTTGTTTATACTTGTGAATTATTGAGACAATTTTTGAAATGTTTCAAAAATTTGAATCAGACTTGTAAAAATTTTTTGGAGGCGTGGCAGCAGCTACGCCCTCTTCTTCTGGATTTTAGGGGTCATGGTCCCGCAAAAATTTTTAGAAGCATCCCAAAAAATCTACTTTGAAGCCATGCACCTTTTATTTGGGAGAGTTTTTTGGCCCTCCTCCGGACGGGGATCCTTGGACCGCCGCTGGTTATAAAGTATTTATAGTTGCCATAGACCCTTGCAATTATGTTTATCAGATTCTCAACATTTATCACCCTAAGTCTCCTTTTGAACTCATTTTCTTCACCCGCAGTGGGCTGAACCACCTTAGATGCTTTTAGGTATGAAGCGATTTTCTTGAAAATTTGCTTTTGCAGCGGTACTTATGCAATTACTTGGTTAAGGGTCCTGCTATCAGATAGCATCAAATCACTTGGTGCTCTATAATAGCAGAGTCTGTAGTCAAGTGATCGCCCAAGTCCACTGCAAAAGATGGATTTTGAATTGAGAAACTCGCTCCGAAAAGTACACGCTGCCAAGGTAGCTCCGCCCTTTCATGTGGGTGGTCTAAAACAATTACTACAAAATTGGGCTGATGTATATAGGATACCACAAACCGTCATTTATCATGATTATCATTTTAATTTTTCCATCTACGCTGAGTCCCACTTTTGAACTTATTATCTTCGTACCACCCAAACCGACAGGCGGAACCGCCTTGGCCACTGCTACCTTCTAGTGCGAATTTCTCGGTTTGGAATTCGCTTTTGCAGCGGACTCGGGCAATTTTCTAGTTAGGGGTTAGCCTTGCTATCATACAGCATCAAAATAACACCTAAGGCTACAGTAATTACCTGTAATGTTCATGTGGATCCGTTGCGGCTTCCCAAACCTCGATATTGACCCTGTCTTTCGCAAACTTCGCCACCCCCAATTCGTTCAATAATTCCCTGCAGATATTTGAAGCAGTGGAACGCAAAAGAAGCTCGAAATGGATACCTGTTTCGCGGTGCTTGACTCTGAGCCGCCTATTTTCTGCATGAGTTCCTTTGGGCCAGAAAGTGGAGCCACCGGCATGCGACATCCAGCTGTACCACTGAAAATGGGTGGATGTAATATTTTTTCAACATTAGCCAGACAAAGGATCCAGCTCACGGCATTCAGCTACGAAACGAAGATTTACAAAGATAGCGAGGATGGTGATCGTCTGGTGAATGACGATCGAGCTCCAGGCGATAATGAGCGCGAACAAGAACGAGACCTGAATTGGCGCTGTTTGTTACGCGTAATACGCAACTGTGGAAGCCGCAAATGCTAGCAGGAGAATTTTGGAAAAATTGAGGAACTAGAAAAATACTTTTGCCTGGGCGAGTATGAACGACTCCTTGAACGGTATCGAGATGAGGAACTCGATTCAGTAGATGAGGATGAGTTGGATCTGGATGACCGTGAGGAATATGAAGATGATGAACTGCTACGGCTAGGCCTGCAAAGTCAAAATCAGACGCCTATCAACACCTTGGAACCACCAAAAAGGAGCACGTACCTTGACCGTGCATTCACTCGAAACCAATACCTTCAGCTTTTCTTCTAGAATCTTCTCCGAGCTCTGCTTTCGCACTATGGATTCCGTTCATCCACCTCGACCCTAAGCAGCTAAGGGTCTAAAAATGGTTACCACTGCCATTGTCTATGAACGACAAAAACTTGTATGCGGTATTATCTTCGTTGTACGTATGCTGCATGCAACCAAGTAGTACACAAACTTTATAAGGCAATCGAACTGAGCGTGTGCGGAGGTGAATCTCTATACAAATCTA